TTGCTTGCTCGCGCCGCCCGGTGTAACAGGGTGATCTTGCTTTTGCATAGCTTTGCATCTTTGCGCGCCGCCCGGTGTGACAGGGTGATGTTTGTTTTGTTTTCGCTTGCTCGCGCCGCCCGGTGTGACAGGGTGATGTTTGTTTTGTTTTTGCTTGCTCGCGCCGCCCGGTGTGACAGGGTGATCTTGCTTTTGCATAGCTTTGCATCTTTGCGCGCCGCCCGGTGTGACAGGGTGATGTGTGTTCTCTTTTTGCTTGCTCGCGCCGCCCGGTGTGACAGGGTGATGTTTTTTTTAAGCCTATTTTGTTAGCTGTGCTCAGTGTGACATTGTAATGTTGGATTTGCTTGCTATCGCATCGCCTGGAGTGGCAGTGTGATGTTCTTTGCACGAGCTGACATTCTGGAGGAGCACTGGAAATGAAAGTGATAAGTCCAAACACTGTTTTTTACTTACGTTATCCGTCTAAAGGGATGCCATGGCTTTTTTTGTCAGTCCTCAGTAAAGATCTTCCTTAGAGGTATCAACCGCGCCAATGCACACTTTGGATTTGGATTCGGTATTTTTCACATTAAGCTACTACAGTCAAAGGTTGAGGCTGTGAAGATAAGTTCTCCTTGTGATGATAGGTCCAGTGGTGAATATGAAAGTACTACTACGGCGGATTTACTACCCACTATGCAGCGTCTTTCGGAGCCAACAAAATAGATTGTAAGGTTCTTCAAAGGGATAATGTAACTTTGCCTTTTCAATGTTTACTATAAGTGTTTTTCAGCTATGTCCCTGACTTGGCTCAAGTTGGATGACATGGAGCGTTTGTTTGGCCGCCAGTGCCATACTTTGTAGAGTCTGAGCCAGTAGGAGAATTAGAGCAGCTAGCCTTGACTTCATTGGTTAAGAATTATTCAGATAGAAATTATATGTTCACCAGAGCAAGTGAGTTTGGTAAAGCGGAGCTAGCACGCTGCAAACGGAGTTAAGGTAGAGAGAATGCCCACGCCTAAGGAGCCAGGATGCAAGGGAGCGTGTGGGGAGCGGAGCGCGTGGGGAGCGGAGCGCGTGGGAGCGGAGCGCGTGGGAGCGGAGCGTGTGGGGAGCGGAGCATGTGGGGAGCGGAGCATGTGGGGAGCGGAGGTGTGGTGAGCGGAGAGTGTGGGCAACGGAGTGCGTGGGGGCGGAGCAATCGGGTAGTGGAGCGCCAGGTATGATGAGGAGCTGCTAAACCATAACTCTGTCACGTAGAAAAAGAAGCGCACATGGCTAGACGGGCGCGGTGGACAATTGGGTCAGGCGATGGCTCTATTTCATCTATATGAGATGCAAGTCGAAAATCATTGGATTCTAGAAGTATGCAATCGCCAAACTCCGGAACACTGATGATGTAAATGCTGGACTTTAAACAGCATGCAAATATGTAAGCAGTGAAGGCTGATTCGAGCAGGGCCTTAGTGACACTGTAATTAAAGCGTACGGGTTGAACTTAACTATTAATATGTCTCGTGCAGCGCATTCTGGCTCGTTTGCCCGCTCGATCTGGTCATTTGCTCGTTTTGCATCGCGTGGGGCCCATGGCGGAAGGGTGTTTGAACGGTTCATCATGCAAGACGAGAGACTTGGCTAAAAATATCTTTTTAAGTATGTATGACATACAAAATTGCCTTGCTCTTTGCGCATCCTCCTAAGGTGTGGCCTCAATCTTTGACCCTATTGGTGAACGCGCTCACAGTTCGGGCGAAATTGCTCTTGGCCGCTTCTTCGTGAACTGGTTCAGCTGTCAGTGCTTCTTGTTAGCAGTGATCTTCACCCGATAGGTCTGAAATCTGCCACTGTAAGTGCATCGGCTGGACACTGGACAGGTTGTAAGAGGTCCGATGATTTTGGTTCGCTTTCAGGCCCGGCCTGGGGTTTTGCCATGTATCAAGCGACGGAGCATATCTAACAAGTTGACTTTCACTTTGCTGTGGCAGGCCCTTTCACTGATGTTGATTGCGATTGGCTGCGGCAAGGCGAAGTGCAACGCATTTAAACTATACGGGTGATGCTGTACATTGATTCTTGCCTAGGACTGCTCTTGCCTTCTCTGTTTCGCCTGGATCTGGACGAATATAATGGAGTATGGTGTGCGCCGACAGAATTGGCATTTAGTTTAAAATTGTTCTAACTTTTTGTACTGCACTGAAGCACAAACATGTTGCACAGGTTGTAAGTGGTCTGATGATTTTGCTATGCCTTCAGGCCTTTGATTTCGCATTATCAATGAAAAGGAACGAATTTGCCAACCCGATTTTGTTGCGACAGGCCCTTTCACTGACACTGATTCTGGGTGGTCGAAGCCAGGAGAAGTTTACATGGTTTCGAGGAATAAAAGATGTGAAGCTGCAGAATGGCTTGCGCAGGATTGCTTTGGCCTTTTGTATCTCGGGGATACCTGGAAGAATATGATGGAGGATGGTGTGTCTTGAAGCACTTGGTGATCACATCCTAGCACCAACCTAGCGCATGTCAACACAGATTTTTTATACAAGGCGATTGTTTCATGGCGTCTATCATCGGGCGCTGTTGCGACCAAGCAGATTTGGCAACACGCTCCAACTGCTCCTTGCCTTGCCTTTTCAGTGTGCAATATCTAAAGCATAGTTGATTTGCCCACTGCGAGTGAACAAGGCGACTACTTTATGCAGGGAATCATCCGTCGTCTTACTCACGTATGCCATGCCGGTTGCTATGAAACCATTCAATGTGCCTTGGCCGGAAAACAGCGGAATTGGTTTGAATTTGCGTGAGTTTGCAATGATACCTGCCAAGGGCGCAATTCTGGATTTGGATTGAAGCAAGTTGCCACTGGTGGGTGCAAAGTCAAGGAGTCAAATGTGAAGCTGATTTCTTGCCCATTGTGGTGTGACTCGCTTGTGAAATACAAGGTAGTACGCTCACATGCCACAGGTGTCTCATGTCGATACCGTAGATGCACATGGTAGCCTGCAGGTGATGCCCTTGCGTGGAAGATTGCGAGGCGGTGTCGCAGCACGACTTCATTTCCAGTGGGGCTGGAGCTTCCCAACTGGAAAAGAATTTCGCGGAAGCAGTGGTACTTCCGATTCAGGCTTGGACATATAGCTGTTGAGATTTGCAATTGAATTAAAATTCTTGTAAGGGGGCAGCGAGCGGCTCCACTACATGAACCACATGCAGAGGCTGAAAAGCAAGCGGCAGCTTTGTTCGCCTTGTTCACATACTGCTGCTGTCGACCCGAGGCTCCAGCGCAGTCAAGAAATGATACTGGTCGGCTGCAGCCTAAGGTTTTTATAATGCTCAACGATTTGTGATTTTGTCGAGCTTGCTGCATTGCGGCCAAGGCCCGGAACTGATGAAGGTATAACATGCCAAGGCGGGCGTAACTACATCCTTCTCCAGTTTCTTGCTTGCTGTGTGTCCTTAGCCTTTGTAACCAGCAGATACCTGGTGCTTTCCCGATTCACTCTCATGACGCCAGCTCCACAAACAGCTGACTTCCAAAAGAATGCTGCTATGTGGAGTATCTGGGTCCAATTCAAATTGCAGTGGTGGCTTAACACTTTCTGTGAGCCGCCCACATTCTTATTTAAGGTGATTACTTTATGAAGACGATTGTCAACCGCTTGACCTGTGAAGTTGGTCAACGGTATCTTGGCCGAGAGAAACTAAATGACCATATGTGAAGTTTGATATCCCAGGCCACCATTGTCCAAGCGCCAGAAGCGGCGACGGTACGAGGAGCGCTACTGGGAGAACGTCTACACCAACGCAATTGGCAGGCATCAACGCATTCTCCGAAGGCGGGAACTAGCTTTTGAAAAGCTCTTCGAGGCAGGGTCGTCAGTGCAAGCTTACATGACAAGATATAGGTCATGAAAAGGGTAGTCTTGAGGAATCTGTGAGTGTGTGGCGCGTGTAGTCGTCAGGAATACGAGTGCATAGTCCAAGCAGAAAGGGAGAAGATGACTATGCCAGATGCCCTTTCTTTTTCTTCACCACCCCCAGGCGCATCGGTTTTTTAGAATGAAAAAGCAGAAACCCACCCACATGTTACATGCAGTTCTGCTTGGTGCCTTTGCTGC